AAAAAAAAAAAAAAAAAAAAAAAAAAAGCCGAACATATCAATCTTTGTTGCCAGGAGTTGTTCAAATATCACAAGTTTTCAAGGGTAGGGAAGGAAGATACGTATACGCGTAACAATAGTTTAATATTTATATTATCACGGCTAAGGCAAAGCAGCGGCAGTGGCAGAGCACCACTTCCTAATTCATCGGACAAAAATTCATTCCCTTTTGAGGGTTCATTCGTGTCGCTCGCTGATGAATTCACTCAAAGTCATTGACGCGAAAACACCGCTCCACCACACCACTCACGACCCAGATTTGTAATTAAACTCAGCCCTTTACATAGTGTATCTCGGTATGTTCTTTGACCGATTCAAAGCTGATTGTTGTTAATAAAAGTGTTGAGACAATAATCGGTTTTGATCGAATAAAAGATCAGGAACTTAAGTGATTTTGACGAATAAAGTCTACACAAATAGGTAATAAATAATAGTCATATTTATCAACTAATTTTAATTCATATCTGTTGTAATACAATCTCAGAGTTCATGACTCAGTACTATAATAATATTTAGGAAAATTGAAATTATTTAAGTTATATTTTTATTAATATTTTTTTTTATTTTACAATGTTTAAATTTTTTGGAAATTATCAATTAACGATTTTGCGATTTGTCTACTACCATTCTTGCGAGTACTACTGTATTGAGAGATATCATATAAAAGCCTTAGGGCTTTCCATTAATTTGTGGAAACGAGAAGACAATGTCAGAGAAGAGACTCCTATTAAATACTTGTCAAATTCTTCTCAATAAAACTTTCATCAAAAAAAGAAAAGATCCGGTAGACCATAAAGATTCACGAACATACTGCTTTAATTTGATAATTTTAGAAAAAGATAAAGAAACAAAAATTAAATTTACATTTGATCATTGTTTTGCAAAATCGATTAATCTAATTAACTTAATTAATAAAAAGTTTCAATAAAAATAAAAATAAATTGTTTTAGAAAACATTTATTTTGCTTAGTCCTATTAAATTCAATCATAAATTGCGAGTTTCTCTCATCGTCAATGTACCAATTTATTATCTGCAAGATACGATCGGTGCATCACGGTCTGTCTGGTATTTATTGCACCCTACCCGTTTCTTCCCATCGCTCCATCCGGCGCTGCGCACCTTCGTAAGGGTGAAATCGAGAGGCGGCCCTTCTAAGGACATCCATGATTGGACGTTGAAGAGATGCGCCGGCCTCTCAATAATAATCCACGCAGTGTTCTTGGTCATCATTCACATTTAACGACCGAAAGAAAGGAGTGCAATGATTATTGAAATGTCGCACCACAAAAAGTTTTATTTATTTAATTAAAAAATGTACAAGAAAGTAAAGGTAAATAACGCAAAATGAGAAGTTAAATTAACATATTATTTCACTGATAATAAAAATTATATTAAAATATATAGCGATTGCTTTTTAATAACAAGACAGAATACCTAAATCAAATTTGCGATACAAGTTTTAATTTATAATTTATACTTTATAATTCTTTTTTTTTTTTTTTTAATTAGTGACATACAAAACAGATATATAATAAAAATGGTACATTGTAATAAATTTATTCATGTGCAAATTAATAGTCGCAAAGTAACAATTTCGAAAAAGTATTGCTCTATTATTATTATTTGCTTTAAATCTTACTTGTGCTTTCACTCAAATTGTTTTACGCTTCACTGCGAAAATTACGTGCATGGCGTAATTTAAAAGCTATTATATGAAAAATATATACCAAGCATCGATATTTCGATAGGAAGCGTACCGTACGATGTGAAACACCTGTGTCCGTCGCGCAACATTGGCCTCGACGACGAATCTTCGCCGTTGTCATTTCGTTATCTTCAAAATATTAATCTCGAGCGCCTGGCGAACACACGTGCGCGCCTCCAATCTGTACGAGAACGGTAACGACCACGATGACGACACAAGGAGGAAGAGGCACGAAACGAACATTGTGCGCACGTTATAACAGTGTAGCAATAACAGCGTTCCATTATATGTAGCTACACCGCGGGCGCGGCGAGATTACAAAACATGCCTAGATTAATGTTTTCTCATCCCGCGGCTTTGTTGTGCAACACAAGGACGAGAGGAGACGAAGGGGAGGGACGGAGGAACGGAGAGTGGCGGCGGTGCACCCTCCTGCCTACCTCGGAGCCGTCTTCTCCCATCACCCCGCGTTCTACCATCCAGCGATATATATACAATCGCGTCATGCGGCAATGAACAATACGAATTACGTTGCATTCTCTTTTGCGGCTCTCTTCGATCGACTTTTCGGCACGTGCGATTCGACGGCGCGTTATTATTTCCGCATTACGAGAAAAAGAGCATCCAGCGTGAAACAACGGCCGAAATAAAACAATGTTATAAATTTGTATAATAAGGTATATTTATATATATATATTTTTAATTACCTGTGCCCACAATGCTAGAAATCGATCCAAGTTCTCGGATCGAAAAAAAGTTCTCAACTTAAATGTAAAATTCGAATAAAAGCAGAATTGAATTTGAATGAAAATGCATCACGTTCCATTTTTGCTAGCTATTAACTTCAAAGTAATTGAATTATATATATATATATATATATATATATATAGTAATATAATTATATATATATATATATATATATATATATATATATATATATATATATAAGTAATTGAATATATATATATATATATATATATATATTCAATTACTTTGAAGTTAATAGCTAGTACAAAAATGGAACGTGATGCATTTTTCATTCAAATTCAATTCTGCTTTTTATTCGAATTTTACATTCAAGTTGAGTAACTTTTTTTCGATCCGAGAACTTGGATCGATTTCTAGCATTGTGGGCACAGGTAATTAAAAATTATGCATACGAAAGACATGCGAATTAGAAATAAGATATTTAATTTATGATAAGATTACTTATAAAATAATCATATATTCAATAAGATTAAGAGAAAATAGAAAATTAGAAAGGAATGACATTAAAATGTGTTTGTAACAATCAGGAAATAACAACTGCATTGAAAAAATTCTTTTGTTTTAAATATTCTTTTATACATTATTTATCAAATTTCAAAATTGAAAACTTTGTAGATAAAATACATATTTCTTTAATTACACTAAATATTTTTTAATTATATTGTTAATAAACCAGTTGGCCGTAAATTGTAAGTGATCACCAGGTAATGAAAGATAGTGAACTTTGCCATCCATTTCCATTGCACGCAATCCAAGCCAATCCTATAAATGATAAAGCAATAGCATTAGGTTCGTGTTTTTAAATCGATCGTGTATTTATGTACCTGTTTGTATAGTTCGCTTTGCTGTAGTTTCTGTATTTCCTCCGCTTGGCCAGACTTGTAAAATCCAAACCACTCCGATTCCGCCGGATCCACCATTGTATCATTTTCGAATTTAACAAGAATTAAAGCTTGGAGCTTTTGAAGATTGTTTTTATATTCCTATCACAATAATAAATGTGAGTAAAAAAAAGTTAATTAATATTTCAGTTACTTACTTAATATCTAATGCAATTTTAACTCTTGTCTCTATATTATAATTTTAATGATATTAAAATTCTATATCATGTTGTTATATCAATTAGGTAAACCCAATAGAACATGTAAAATGTCGCAGTTTCTATATTGAAACATATTTTAATTTAAGATTCTAATTTATAATTATATCAATGTTCATACCGTGTTGATAGTATTTTCGTTATTAATATCGGCAAGGAACATATTTTTCTTTCGATATTCATCTTCTTTCAGAGGATCGTGCCAATAAGAAGCTTGTATTAATGACTTTTGAATATACCTAAGAGAAAAGAATTGAAAATATAAAATAATATATAAATAATAGAGATAACAAATCCCATTAAGCATAGCTATTTTTTAAAGAAAATAATTACCATAAATATGCACCGAGATGAAGCATGCGCCGCATATAATTGCACAATTGAGATGTATCTGAGCACTTTGGTATGCCGAAAACACCTTGATGCTGACCACCTAAAGATATTAAATTCAACATTGGTGGATTCGGACATCTTTGTGCCACTGCTCTTCTAAAAAATGTAACACACGTAACGACAATCAATCAATATACATAAATAATTAGTTAAAATACTATATATATATAGTGGCTATAAAATTAAATAAATTACAAAAATTGAGCTCCTTGAGAAAAGCCAATGGCATTATATCCATTTTGAAGCCTTGTATCTTGCGACAATTGTTCACACACATTTTTTATTTGCTCATTAATATTTCCAAAGTAGCTATTTTCAACATCCTATAAAAATATATTATATCTTAATTTTGCATATAAAATTGAATAATAGATTAAAGATATAAAACAAATACAAAAAAAGTAAAAAAATAAAGAAAATTCTTCAAAAAGATGTATTTGAAAAAGAAATATTATTGGAAAGAATATTAATTTTCAATATAATCTTCAATACAAGTGATATAACAACAAAACAAATTATTGCATATGTTTTGAAAAAAAAGATTTTTTTACATTCTCAGCTCATACATTTACGCTTTTTTTTTATATTTATGTGAAACGTAAAACGTTTGTCTTTTAGATTCTTGAGCAATCCCAAAATGTGAAAATCGTAGAACTATAAACTAAAATTGTAAAATTTAAAAATTTGATTGTTTTATGGTTTATAAGATATTAACAACTATGGTCAATCACGCTACGATCGCGCATTGTAGAGAAAGTCATACTGATCAATCTAAAATGCTCTGATTCTATCCTTGTACATTTTATTTCTAAAAAAATGTTTCATATAAATTTTTTTCCTTTTATTGTTTCTGTTCAATTTACGCTACTAGAATATTTTTCTTCAATATAGTTTGATAATATATAAACCACATCCAACCTCTATAACATTATTTCCAATTCGTATGGAATTGATATAGATTCCAGGTATTTCATTCTGAAGAATCTCTTGTATTTTTCCAAGACTGAAAGTAAAGCAGCAACTATCACCTGTAAAAGATATGTTTTTATCTTTAAGTGATATACTAATGTATGCTTATTGACAATGTAAGATACTAAACATTTGAAAACTGGAAACTAAAAATTGGAATTAAATGTTACAAGTAGTAATATTTTAATTTACAGACGCGTCGCTCAAGTTAAGAACTTTTAATCTGACAAATTTTCGAAATCAAGAAACACTATCGTATCTAAAAACATGACGCGTGAGTGAAAATAAATTTTGATATTAAAAATATTTTATTAAAAATATTATTACATTTAATATGGTTGTCATATTACATATATTAGTAACAAACTGCGAACGCGAATAGCACGATGGCTGTGAACGCCAGCAGTGCAGTCTGTGTCGGAAAGTTCAACTGTACAGAGTCAAACAAGAATAAACTTACAAATTTAAATTTATTCAAATAAGGATTTTAACTTACACGTACAAAGTAAAAGTGTTGACTTAATGTTAAACTAACACCTCCACTTTCAAAAAATATTTTTATAGAAAAATAAATCAAAAAACAAATGTACCAGAATTTTTTGCTCTAATATACTGCAAAAGAATTGCTAAAAAATTAAATTTAACTTAATCTTTAGATACTATGCGCTACTTCCCTCTAAACGACTTTTTGCGACGAAACACCAGTACAGCTTTTTTTTTACCTTATATTTAAAGTTACTTGATTTCTCGTTGCAAGTCAGGAATGTCTTCACAAACATGTAAAGACATGTGACATTATGTTTTTATTTGTTTGCACATGTTATAATTAAAACGCATTTTGTGTCAAAGTTGTGCATATAGTAATACAGCTCTACGTCCAATTTAACCATAGCAAAAAAATTGAAAAATACAAATGATAGATGAAGTGGTGCTAGCTTTCAACAAATAATAAACTATATTATTATATGTAAATTAATTAGTTACTCCGGGTTTTTTTTTAAATATTTCTTATATTTATTGCTCGCAAGATATGCAATCTTGAATTTATTACTCAATGTTTAACAAAAATTGAGATCATAAGTGCTAGCTCGCCTCTAAAAATGTCAAAAATTATATCAATGTTAGTAATATTATAATTATAGTTGGAAATGTAATTCTAATTAGTGAGAAAAAATAAAAAGCAATTGTAGAATAAATGTAGTAAGGGAAAAAGCAGCTAACAAAAGCAATTGTAGTGCAATAAACTCACCCATTCCATGCCAAAGCACTATCGGTATTGGTGAATCAGTTTTTTCTTTCCTTTCATCTAAACAATGATCGACATTTGCGCATAGAAATATCACGACGATAAAAATAAAAGAATGACTTAGCTTCCATTTTGTTGCAACACGATCCATATCGACTATTAACTACAATAAGATTTGTGAAACTAACGTAAACCAACACTTCGCAATACTTTTGCGGCACTGTCAATCATCGTCAAACACAGCTGATCGTGAGTGTAACTGGCTGCAATATTCAATCGATTGCATGTGTGCATATACATGCTTTTATGTCGATGACGACGCCTCATATGGCTACATTGGAAATTTCGTAACACTGCAATACTCGTTCGGTAATTCAGGTTTTGAATATAACCATCTGATGAACTTTAGATAACAAAATTTTTGCATTATATACAACATATAAGAGATACTCACTGTGTAATTATATTATTTTATATTTCTGAGACATTTTGGAGTCAAACGCACCATTTCTACACATTTGCATAACAATTAATTAAAAAATTTCAAGCTATTGAATTAGTTAAAAAATTAGTTAATAAATTCAAAGCAAAAATTCTAAATCAGAAATATAAATATTAACATCCAGTGTTAAACACGTATATTTAGAAAATAGTTTTACGTTTGAATTAATTTAATACGATATTTAATTTATGTGTCAACACGTAAAAATGACTAGCTTTATTATATCTTTTGATGAATATAATGAAAATTGTTTAACATAAAAGTACATAATATTGAGTACAATAAAATGTGCTTTTATTATTTATTGATGTATTAAATATTTAAAAAATTTAATTTTTTTACGTACTTTCAAAGTTTCTATAATCCTGAATCCTACACGCCCCTATTGGAAAGTTTGTCATTGCTTACGTACGATTCTGTGAAGCACGACTTATTACAGTCTACCGAAGTGAAAGCGTATCATCACATCACTGTTGTTATTTCCACGCATTAGCGAATGCTATTCATTCCTCGCAGAAGATCCGAAAGAGTAGCATCTCTTATTGGGTGGATAAGGGAGAGAAAATGAGAGGAATATGAGAAGGGAGAATAAGAGTAGCAAACTCGTGGCCGTTTTGTTTAGAGAATTGCTGCGATATCCGAAACACAATGTACAATATCCAAGGCGCTTGCTGCGGTATACATTGTTTCCGTTCTTCGGCTGTTCTGCCTATGTATGGAAAAGCAGTAATCACTTAAAGCGGATCTGTGCTAACATGACTATTACCAGCTTAACGCGGATTGCTGATTTAGACCTATAAATATTGTAAAATCTCGTCGCGCAAAGCTTAAAGATATCACGCGGTTCTTTGCCGCTGGTTACTTTTGAAATCTTTAGATAGTGCTTATATAAAAAATTTAACGTTATTTTCAATATATAATAAAATCTTCTTTTGTTCTTAAAGAAGATAAAGTGTAACATATACTTTGGATGTACGTCGTACATTTATATTATATGCTACATGCGAACGTACTGTAATCTAATTTTTCATATTGAAATTGGACAAACGATTCTATCGATCCATAGAATACAAGAAAGAAAATATGTGTCCTATTGAGGGAAAAAATAAAACTTTGTATAAAAATATTAATGAAGCTCTGATAGCAGTCCAAAGATCAGCGTGGAAGAGTTCACCTCTTTACGTCCGCGACCAGTGGCAGTATGCTGTGACGCGCGCTACCAACCTTTCTCCCCTCCTCCGCCATCCCACATTTCCCTCCAGCTTTCTACACGCTTCTCTACATCTCTCACCCCCGCTATACCTCCACTCGTAATGAATCCAGTTTGTCGAACTCCACCGCCTTCTCCAGCGGCATGCCGCCAGGGATTTTCCCGACCTAACCATCCCTAACCATCCGTTCCAACCATTCCATCCCTCTGTCCGTCCATATCCGGTAACTATACTACGTAAACCACTGTGCTTTTCGGTGTACTACCCCCGCGACGGCGGCCAACCTGCACAGTCATTTCGTATCTCTCCTTCTATCCTATCCCCTGACTACTGCCTCTTACTCCTCACCGCGACCGCGCAATACCGCGCGCGCGCCTGATGCCCGTAATTACATCGAGTTCCCTTGACGATGGGATGAGAGCGGGTGGAGAGAGGTAGAGGTTCTAATTAATCAGCTAGCCGCACCGCATGCGAATCGTTCCCGGCACACGTTGCTGCGGCATGCCTATAGGTTGACCGTCGACCAAAGCACTATAGGCCCTCGCGCGGAGTCTCTTCCCTGCTTGCCCACTTGTTCGACCAGCGTTATTAACCCTTAGTTACATTTGATAATTATGTGTTACATAATTAATTGCTTTACATAATGAGAGTAATGTTGATCCATATGATTTTTTAAATTTTGTTTATTGGTGAAAATCTATTTTATAAATTGAATTTACTCGATGTTATTTTTTTTATCAAAGAAAGTAAAATTACGTTTTATTGGCACCATAAATTTATTTTTTCAGGGAAATACTTGAATTTTCATTTACATTATCTTCTGACAAGAGAATCATTATCTTGGAATTTGTGTACCATTTTATTATCTTATTCTCAATTTCACCAACAAAATTTAAAACATACATATATCATTGACATACTATTAAGCAATGGATATTCACTATCTTTTATCGTTGCCACTATACGACAGATTTTTATGCAATAATATAACTAAAAAGAAGCAGAGACATGAATATTATTTATCAAATTAGTTCAAATTATGTAATTGGAATATTCAAGAAAATCCGCTCATTGCTTGCTATGGAACAAATAAAATTGACTTTCTTTGTTATCGCTTTATTTTCCGATGGTCTTTCAACGGTGGGTTTTTATCATCCTTCCAGAGAGTGAAAATGAGAACAAAGGGAGAGGGAGATTTCGAGCAACATTGGTTTCGAACAATAATTACTTGCCGGAAACCGCTAAGTCGAGAATATAGGAGATTTTGCTCCAGTCTCAGCTGCAGTGATGTCGTGCTAATGAATTCTATTTTGTCCGTTCTTCATATTGATCTTCCTATCCTCCTATTCCCTTCATCCTCTATTACGCTCGCTAAATTCGTGCTGAGACAGAGTATCAATTTGCATTGATATTGGAACCAAGAGAATATCAATGTAAACAAATATCAGTATTTTATTAGTGTTAATGTAATGTTAGTATAATGCAATAATAAATATCAATATGACGATATTAATAGACAAATAGATATTTGCAGAAATTTTTTCAAGATATTGAGTAAAAAATATTGAAAGAAACATATCGATGGTATTGTTATGTCATATTAGTACTCTTCAAAATTATTATGTTACAACTTATTATTATACAGAAAAAAGTGGATAATCCGGATATTTAATTCAGAAGTTTCAATTTTGTATTTTCAATTATTCAGTATTTTCAATTATTCTTAATAAAAAATAAGACAAAAAGGGTTAAAATAAATATATTTTTCTTTGAGAAATTAAGAGGATTCTAAAATGCCTGTCTCCAACGTGAAAACGTTATCATTTAGATGAAACTGAAAATGATACTGATATTATCGATGTAATGTCTATGTATCATATAATTTATAAACAAATTACATTTGCACTTCCGCGATTAAAATTCTATTGTAAGATTGTAATACAATGTACGAGATAAAATAGAGTCTAATAAATACAAACGTCAAACCAAACATTCTATTTTAAGCAAAAAATATCTTACTTGACGTTGTTTTATACTATTGAAAAAAAAGATATCTAACTTATCGTCACTCGTACTTTTTTCGATTTTAGCAGAATAATTTTCATACTCGTATTTTAGGTGCTTTAAAAGAAAAAATTTATTTTGACTGTTTAAAAAAAAATTGCTCTATAAGGTATTGCATTCAATTCTCTTGAATACGAATTATCATTATAAATTTATTTTTATATTTGGACTAAAGGGGTAAGAAAGGTTCGATTCCGTTTTAGTTCTACTCCGACAGGGGCGCTATTTTTACTCTCTAGATGGCAATACTAAGCAATTTCCTGACTTTGCTCATGTACACAATACATTACTGTATATACCCAGGCAGTGTAAGAACAACATAAACTGTTTGAAATTGTCTTTCGCTTTTGCATAAGTTTATATCCCCTGAAGTGATCCCAAAAAAATATAAGAGTTTATACACCCTGCATATTGAAGAAAATCATGGATAATGATTATTACTCTATTATGTATGCATGGTAAATATATAAATATACACAGAACATTATATTTAATTTTGTGATATAATAGAAAATTTTAAACTTAACTAATTCAAATTTTTAATATGTTAAAAGCTATTTAAACTCGAAAAGATTTCCTATAATATAATTTGCAATTACAATTCATAAATTGCAATTTATGTGTTTAATTTGTGATATAAATAATTTTATGTTTATATTTATGACATTTTTGTTAACATTGTATTTTCGTTGTTTTTTTGAGGTTTGAAAAATGTGGGATTATATCTAACATCAGAACACAACTGCGTCAGAACTTAGTTAACGCTTTAAAGCATAAAGATCTAGGGCTATGTAAAAATAAAGAAGTGAGATCAGCGAAACAGTATGTTTATGATATGTTAATAGCTGAGTATCTGTTTAGTCATAATTATTCTTTCACTTTGTCGATATTTGCTAGCGAAGTTCCGCTTTTAGTCAATTTTTGCAACAATGTGTCACAGCACTCTGATGGCAACGACATAGGTGGCAAGAATAAATTGCAAAGCGATTACATAGTGCATACCCTGGAAACACTGGGTATTGATCCAAATAAACCTGATGGCAAGCATATTATATCAAGTTATATGAACAGTGAAACATCATTGTTATTAGCCATTCTAAGTTCTATAGCTTCGCTAGTTTTCAATTCACAATCTTCAGTTAAAAGTTTCTTGCTGGATAAGGAAACACAGACTAACTTAGCTATGGAAGCAAATTTCATAAATGCTACAAAAATGCAAGTAATGAGGAAGAAAATTATGCAACAGAAACAATTGTATGATGAGGAATTGAAAGCGAAGGAAAACAGATTGAAGCAGCAAGCATCCATTATAAAACATCAGCTTAACTCTTTGAATGCAAAAGTGGAAAAAGTTCAGGTATTTTTAACTATATATATTTAAGTATTTGACTTCACAAAAAATGTTCTATGTTTATTATATTATTTTTTGACAATGAATCTTGCATATTAAAAATTAATCTTTTTATATATAAATTTTGTTTGTAAAAAACATGTCTTTTACATTTAGAATTTAATGCAATCTTTGATGCTGAAAGAAAAGCAGCTAAACGAGAAGGAAAGCAGTAGCACACAATATATTTTACAGAAAGAAATGGAGCTGTCTATGAAGCAAAATTTCTTAACACAAGAAATTGATAGGTGCGATAGTATTATTTTAAAAGCTCATAACTTTGTAACTACTTATTGTTCATAACTTCCAAACTAATTATCATATAACTTTTATTAAATAAATTTTTAAAGATTGCAGAGAGAACAAGATAGTTACAAGACGGTTGAGAACGATTTGAAAAAATTGCAACAAGAATTCATCAAGATGCAAAAAGAGATGTCGCAAGATGTGTCGAAACAAAGCGTCCAGAACATTAGAAATATTCACGTGCAAACCGATTTGGAAAATCGAACAATAATAGACGAATGCAGAACTCTGCAGCAAGAAAAGTTGGAATTGACAAATCTTGTACGAGAGCAACGGTCAATGATAGAGCAAATCACGCAACGTAGCGCGCAGTTATTGCGTCAATTAGAAAAAATACGTTTATTGCAATCAAATTCTATGGTTCGCGTTACCAGTGCAAACGCAATCGTCAGCGAGAGCAGTTCGACAGAAGATATTCTGCAGGATGCTAAGATGCGATTAAAGCGTCTAGAAGAAGAAAGCTCTAAGGCCGATCAGTATTTTTGCAATTTCGTTAGTACCTCTTCATAGTATAAAATTAAAAGAAAATATTCTAAAGTATCAATTGTAAAATTAATTTATTTATTACGCATAATTAACTTCGTAAATGCAGTCAGCGTGAAGGTTATACCTTCTTCACTTCTAAAAAAGGAAAAAGACTAAATTGAATCATATATAAATATATACATATAGTGAAAAAATATTAAACATTTTGATAATTTATTTTATAAAAGTGGTTGTTAAAACATCATAATACAGTAGATCCTCGATTTGACGGATTAATAGAAGTAGTGTCCGAAAAATCCAGATTTATCGAAGTTTAATATAATTAATTATCATGTTACTGTATTACAGTTAAAATACGCCAATTGGTCATGTATTGGACTGCAAATCAATATACATCGCCTATTAATTATCTTATGAAATTGACTAGCCGTTCAAATTTTAAATATTCTTCAAGTTTTCAGATTTTCGAATTTTCCAAAGCCAAATATATCATCGAAATCTGTAAAATCGAGGGTTTATTATATACAAATTATCCACAATTTTTTTCTTTATTTCAAATTCTACGTTTATTACATGCAACATCAAACATAGAGCATAGAAAATGTTAAGTCAAGCTCCTTTCTGTTGTACATCATCTTCGTTTCGGGTCTGAACTCCTTCTGGTACACTTGAATTAAGGATCATACTAAGCATTTGTACTTCATCGCGGATAAAATAGACAAGTCATACAATTATTAAGCGTATACATACACAGTTAAGAATTTTTTTTAAAAAAAGAAAATTATAATTATAAAAAAGATAAAATATATTGTAAAGTTTGAAATATACAAATTATAAATTTGATAATTGAAATAACTTATAAATTTTTTAAAATAATATAATTAACTATTAAATTATTGCTATATATTGCAATCAACGAAAATTCAATTAATAAACGTAATTTAATTTATTAAAAAATTGTATTAATGAAACACATTAAAAGATCTAGCTAAAAGTAAGGCATAAAAAAGATTATTATTTAATTCAATAACTGCCTGATGTGTGTACTCTATATATATATATATATATAATATATAAGCTACGTAATTTATTAGCTGCAATGTATATTTTATCAATGAAGATGTTATCACAAAATTAGCTATTAGAAACCAAATTGAGAAAAATATTTTTACATTAATAACTTTTTAATATTAAACATATGAAAAAGGATATTGTTTATCACGGCTTTCACGTCCTTCGCGTTCATGAGGACGATCCTTTGCATATGGGGATTTTTCCTGAAAATATATTGAATGAATCTTCTAATGCCATGACTTCTTGCAACTGACATTGAGTAGGAAAGAAGGTGGTTGGATGGGAGGAGAGTACTTGCAGTACCGTCTATATTTTCTTGTTTCCACTATTATCGTCCATTTCGTCCTTTTAACGTACTCGAAGTAGACATCTTTATCAACTATGGTGTATTATATTATAAAAAATACTAATTGTGCATGCGTGTACGCATTATACATGTATAATATTACTAACCTTACTGTAGTGATGCTTCTCTCTATGTTCAGGAATGTCACCGTTTTGATGAGTACCTTTGACTGATAAATATATTTATGCCTCAATGTATATAATGTTTCAAATGTTTCTCATATATAAAGTTATTTATATTATTTTTCCCAATAAGAAATGAAAATAAATACAAACCTTTTTCATCATCTTTCCTCCGTTTTTGTTCAGTGGTTGCCATGGATTCTTCCGTCCGATCCTGCTTTAATTAATTAATAAGTTATTTGAAAATAGTATACAATAATCCAATAATTGTGATACAACCGGAAAGAAAGTAATTCTTTATAAAAAAATTCTTTATAAAATAAATTAAAAAAAAAACCCAGAATGTTTTATGTATCTTTTAAAGAAATTTATTTTGTTTTTAAGTATTTCCTGATAAAAAATGATCTCCTTTCCGGTTACACAACAATTACTGGATTACTTTATACTATTATTATTAATACAAAAACACAATGATCATAATATGTATATAATAATTAAATTATAGAATTATAATTACCCTTTTCCGACCCTGTTTCTTTTCTCTGCGTAATTCTTTCTGTTCGTCGCGTACTTTTCCTTTGCTGGAACGTTCTTTTTTATCGAGAATAACGTCGACACGTCTTCCTTCCTGCTAAATACACAAATATTTATGCAAAGAAAAACAGCAAAAGATTAAAATTGTACAATATTAATTATATGGTTACCTTCGGAACACTCTCTAATTTTCTCCTTTTTGCATCTGCAACTAAATATTAATTTATATTACAATTATTGAATTATGTTATTGTTATATTTAATGTTTTATTATTATACAAACCTCTCTCAGGCCCTTCTTGCGTAGGCCCTGAACCAGCGCTGCTATTTGACACACTAGAAAGATCTCGATCTAAATTATCAATACCACCGCTGTAATAGTGCTCTTCCTAAAAATTTACAATTATATGTAAAACTGATCATATAACTAAAAAACGTTTAATTTTGTATCTCAATTATGAGATAAATAATATAATTAATAATAATAAACAAAAAATTTTGAATATTGGTCACAGAAATATCAAAATTTAAGATTTAATAATTTTTAGTTTAAAAAAATTAGTCTCTTGCAATTCCATGATGACTTATTCTATAAAAAAATAATTTTAACTTAACATTACATAATATAATAATTACCTTATAGTATTTGCGATCCTTTTTATCTGATCTTTCAATTATCTCCTCTTTTACTTCTTCTTTCTTGATGTATTTCTCTTTTGCTTCCGAAACGTCCTTATTATCTTCTTTCTTTCGGAATTTTTCAGAATTTTCACTATTCAAAAAATTGATATTGTTAAACAGTTAATGATTAAATCTTAGAAGATATTCGGTCTAAATATTATAAAATGTTCATCATGTACGACAATTTATAATTGATCTCTTTCTTCTTCCTTTCCTCTGAACTAAGATAAAATATCATCAATAGTGAGCAGATACTCAGCATAACATTGAAACATTTGATTCATGTACAGTAAGATGCATAATTGAAATAATAGCACGTTTCATAAGAAATATAATTTATTTTTATGCAGTGTAAAATGGAACAATAATTAAAATGTTATTAATAATCATAATACATAAAAATAATCTTTTAATATTTTCAATATTTGATTTCATCAATTTATAATAAGAGTTGAGAAATTTTCGGCATATTTTTGCGTACACTTGAACAAAATATTTCTGCGATAACAATGATTGTTTGTATAAGAAAATATTGTAAAGCAAAGCATTGGGGGTTGTGCAATAAGCAATTTCGGATTTTAGATAGTTTGGTGACATTAAATTAATTATTCGTTTATCGAAGTTGTAATCGAATTCCACCCGTATCACGATTTTTTTCACGTTGCGTAAAAATACGAAATTGTTTATTACATAATCAATAATAAACAATTAAAGTATTGCAAGACTATATTGCGTGTACAATGAAATAAATGACAATGTTAGGACATCAAAATAAGCAAAAAATTATGCAATATATTGCAAGTGTTGAAAACAAATGAGAATACAAATAAATGGTTTAAAAAACTTTAAAAAAATGCAATATAAAAAAACTTGAAAAGAAAAAAGATATTAAAAGTTTAAATGTCTGCTATCTAGAATAGGATGTAAAGTTGAATTTAAGGTTTCCTTCATTTTAGAAGAACCTAAAATATAATTCCAAGTGTATGTCAGAAATGTTAAAACACACAAGTTATATGTATACCCTCAATATGTTGTACAGCTCATTAATGCAAGAATATAGTTCCCTCCTTTCATCCAAAAGGCTGACCTGACATTATATTACTTACTGATGCGTTTGATTCGATGAACTTCGTTTTTCTCGTTGCTCCTTATTTTCCTTTTCCGACCGAGTGTCCCCATTATTAACTTCTTTCGCCGTTACTCCATTGCTAACTTTCTCGTTTGTATCACTATTCGTAGTGTCTTGCGTCTTTCCAGCCTGCACAGATGAATATAATTAATAAAACACTCAAACATGTTTGTAATTTTTTCAGAATATAATTATTAATAATTCAGAATATATTATTCAGAATTATATAAATATAATTATACAGAAAACAAAGAGATTAAAAAATATATTACGTTCTTCTTAAAATAATAAAAAAAAACTTTTAAACTTTTTGAAGACAACCTCGAACAGTTACTTATATCGATTATACAATTAAAGCTGATTTAATCATATATATAGCATGCAAAATGACGCGATTTCGTCTTTGTTATTTCTCCTATGAATGCGATATAAGAGACAAAAAAAAAGAGAGAGAGAAAAGTTAATTTCGTCGCAAATTACAAATTGTTAAAAGATTCAGTATTTTAGTAAATATTAAATTCAATAAAGAATATTCAGACAGAAAATACAACCTTATCACCCACATGATGGAAATCTGATTCACGTATCATACTGGGAGTTTTAGCTTTCAATTGCCCACTGTACGATGTAGCCAAGACATGTAAGTCTTGACGCTGGCCACGCTCTTCTTCCCTCACTTTTTCTACCTTTCTTTCAAGGATTTGCGAGAGTTTTGCCAAGACGGGAAAATGTGGTAATATTTTGATCAGTATTATTAAAGAATTTCTTATTTGCACGTAATCCTTAGAATCTAGACACACTACAATAGCCTGTTGAACAAAGATTATTTAAATTAGAAATGTTTATTGCCAGTGTCGAAATAACGTCTTCATATTCAAGATAAATGTGACAACATATAGTGAATATGTAATATATGTTATAGATATGTTCAAAATTATGCAAGTACCTTTGTAATCTTGTAATGCCACTTGTGACATACGTGTCTATAATTTTCAAACCCAACCATATCATTTGCCTCAGAGAATTGATTGCTCACGCGAAATTTAGTTACAAATCCTGGATAATTGCTGCATTCCTGCATTATGTGACAAAACACATTTGTCAATACATATTTAGATCAACAGATACACATTTAACATACGCGAGACTATGTTTTTTAATCTAAAAATTCAAGCAAGATTTGCTAATTTGTAGCTATTACCTTATCAAATATGGCTTTTTCAGAATGCCACCGCATTACAGTCTCCAACATGGCGCATAAAAACCTACCATACCGATTAGCTTCGTTTTCTGTGCACGAGGTGACTGAATATGTAATATCACAGAAAAGCTGGAAAAAAAACAAACTCATCATCAAAATGGTAAAACGCAGACTATAAATTGTTCTTACACAAGATATTACAAGTAAAAGAAATTTTGTAATCGGTAAATATATTAATTTGCTTGAATAATCCATCTCGGTATTATTATAAAAAGTTAACAAGCGATGAAAAAGCGTCTTACACGATCATAGCAAAGCAGAGTTGAAAAATTTGCAGTCTTCAGGGAATGGATGGTATGTACAAATTTTGCACAATACATGGCATCCACAGTTGTGAATGTACACCGCGGGAATAGACACAACTGTAGAAATTGCGTTATCGTCTCATTTTTGGCAGATTTGGCGCTTCGTGATAAAAACCATGTATCTTTCTCTTGTCTGCAAGCCGTAAATACGAGTTATACAGTTAAGACTATTTAGAGAAATACAAAAGAACGACGAGATTATGTGACAATGATTATAGAATTATTACAATTGTATATTGTAAAAAAAATTTACAATACTTTACCTCAGATATGCAAAAACTTTTTCGACATGTTCCTCTTGTTTCTTCTTTTCATCCTGCAGCTTCTCGATAAGAGTGGTATATCTTTCTTGTTCTTTTTTCCCTTTACTTATATTCTAAAAACCAGCATTATCAGCGTTATTGAATAAAAGAAAAAAGAAAAAAACAATTTCATGTTGAAAACGAATCTTTTATGCCTTGATGCTGAAAATAAGTGTAACAATACTGTGCAATATCACGTACCATATCTTTGGAATCGACAGTTTGTGCGGCAAGTTGCTTCAATTTATTGACCTCTCTTTGATAGCTTTCCACCGGCACATACAAATCATACATCGATAAGGACCAAAATGTGACTAAGAATTGCGGTGATATGTCCTCCCACACTTTTAGAGGATGTAACGGCCTGACAGATTGAGCAACGGGTGCCATGACGGCTTGCGCGGCTTCCGCATATTTTAATTGTTTCATAGCCGTCGACATTTTCTTATAATTTGAATCAGCTTTGCGAAGAGCGTCATATTTTATCTTAAAGAGAAAATTAAATCTGTATAAGACAATTAAAAAAACAGTCTGTATCAAATTGACCAATGGCAATGCCACAAATTGTACATAATGCACACGTCTAAGCGCAGTAAACTCTTGCAAATGCTCAAGCACTTGCATTTAATGCCGATTCTGAACGGTTAAAGTGTTGTGAAGTTCTCTTGGCAAAAGAATTGGAGACCCTTAGTATAGATTATCAACATTATGAAAAAAAAAGCTTATGCACATAAATACTTGTTTGCTTACATTAATGGCGTGTGCAAACATCGGCCTCGCCAGAAAAAATGCGACATCCGCATGTATATGATTGTCCTGGAGCATAGAATGGATCGAGGGCAGCCGTTCTACATACTCGTCCACCGTCATAGTAGAGCCCAGGAACGTCCCGAATTGCACTAGCGTATCTTGGCACTGATCATACAACTTGCCTGTCACAAAAACAAGTCCGCTTGTTAAGAAATGTCACATCTATGTGGCATAGAATCTTTATTTTTATTTTATGCACTTATACAATACTAATATATTTATCAGTGAACTTTTTACACAATGGAACGCGCCGTCTCATATAAGCTTAACATTAAATCCACGGCGTGCCTTCATTTTTTTAATGATAATTATATATGTTGTGTAGAGTTCCAGTATGTATAGAGAGTTCAGTAACATTTACCGACGAGTTTTAAGTGAGATTTATCCGTTTCTCTGTAAACGACGCAATGTTTCTGCTGCGCCATTAACAAGCACAGAGCAACCGCAAGATCATGCTCAGCAAGGGCTTCCTTCAAACGTTGTGAAGACTTCTTGGTGTTGCGAACTTGACTGAAGTAACCGGCCTTGAGAGGAACAATTTACACGTCAATTAATCTGCATTAACACTACATGCATTAAGACGTATGGTATTACGTAAAGTCACAATTTACCTCATTTTTCAACAGATCCCCACCCGCCATTGCGTCTAGCTGATCAGATGTCATCTCTTCAGCTGCCTCTATACCAGCCATTTTTTGTACTATCTCTTTTAATATCAATAAATCTAGGCTGGAAGATTAAATAGTGTTAAATAGTGATAAATTGATTTAACGGTTAAACAAACTGTCGTAGTATTTATGCACATGAGAACATACCTCTTTTGAGCTTTAAGTTGATTCGCTACGTATTGTAACAATCCTGTCAATTCGATGTTATATTTCTTGAATATCGCTCCGCAAAAGGAAGCCAGAGATTGCAGCCATAAGGATATACTGGTGCCATCGTGTTTAAATCTATCTCTGTCAGCACCCGCTAATGCCTCAACGAGACAGTATCCTAATACATCGTATGAAATATTTGTCAAGTATTTTAAAGAATCCACCACAGGTCCTGTAATATATCGAATAGGATTATAAACATGTTTTCATCAAGTTGATGGCAACGGTGGAAAGCATACACTTGTGCACGTACCTATAAGGTTGTCATACAGTTGGATTTGTACGAGGACATAATCGAACAACACACCCGGCGACGAATGCGTAAGTTTGCCTATCGACCGGCCGACCGGTTTAATTGTTTCCTTGCTTACACGCTTCATAATCGACTTGATCTTTTTTTGGGCGTCTGCGCGTTTTCGCAGTAGCGCGGCATGCTGCAATGGCGTATCGTTCTTCCAGCGAGCGTACAACGAGTAACGATTTTGATAGGGATAATATTTAAGAATATTCCACAGTTCCTCGGCGACGCAACAATTACAATCCATGAAAGAAAGCGAGGGTAGTAGCGCAACGTCAAGAATTGTCAAAACATCGTAATACAGAGTGCAGTCCTTGTTCAGTGGTTGCTTACTCGCATCAAGCTCGCAATGCTTAATGGCAGCATAGCACAGCCTCATTATTTTGTACATTAAAATAGGATCATGATGCAGATTAGGCCCAAGCACTATCAGCATTGGCAACAAGTGGTCGTGAATATCCACCAGATTGTGTATCAAAGGTGGTGCGAGGGAGCTCTTCAAGGGAGGCACTTTACGACCCGGTAATTTCGGGGAAACAATGCAGTGCCTGTAACAAAAAAATTTTGAAAAATTGAGACAATTTATCGGGAGGTAAAAGATTAGAATAAAAAAACAATTTCCATAACAAGCACGATAATTTGTAACAAATTTTTGTTCGCATACATGTGATATTGTGATTTATTTTCTTAAAATAAACGCAATATGTAACGAGATATTACTCTAATGCTTACTTTCTGTATACGGGTTCGATAAGAGCCTGGATCATTTTGCACAATGCTAGAGCTATGGGTCGCTGATCCGTAAGGCAATAGTCTGGCAAACGACTAAACAAGTCTTGTGCCACTTTCCAAGCTCCAATTTCTAGAAGGGCTTCACATAATCCAAACTTTTGATTGCTCGCATATTTCTCCTTTATAAAAATAAAAGATATTTAATGAATAAAATTATTAATTAAATACTAAGGAAAAAAATCATGCTTACATTATTTTTACAAAACATTGGTTAGGCTAGATATTTTAATTCAACTAATCGTTCGTTATAGTAAGTTGTTAGTCGTTAAGTTATTTAATGATAATATAAATATGCGAGCACAACATTTCGACAAAGTTAAAAAATTAGATTACATAAATTTAAAAATTATCATAAAAAAGGATCAAGTAGTTTGTATCAACATTGAATTCCACATTTTAATCTCAAATTGACAACCTTTTTTAATACTTTACTTCTTGATTTCGTAAATTTGATTGTAAAATAGAGAAATTAATTTATGATTATTAAATTATGATTCAATAAATTGTTACATTTATTACTTGTGCATTGTCCTTCTCTTCCGCAACATCCTCTTTATCCTTAGTTGAGATTACGCTTAATTTCCGCACATACTCCTTGGCTTGTTTCATCGCCTGTTCATGATCTGATATGATAATTTTATCATCTGGTACTAGCCAAGACAATATATCATCCAGTTGGATCACACCGTGCTGCAGCATGAGCGCGGTAACTTTTTGCAGAGAAAACGGTGTAGTGTTAATGGTGGAACAGTATTTAAATCCCAACACTTCACAGAGTACTTGTCGGTCGCTCATATACGAACGTATCAAGGGAATAAATAGAGCATCGTCTTGCGACCGATTCTCAAAGGTTTCTAGCAAGATATCGAGTACTCTATTAGGATCAAGATTGAAATAACCTGCAAGAATAATAATGTCTGGTACTTGGTTTTTTCCACTAAGTTTATTTTAATTTTTATTATAATTGCATAAATTTTGTAAGTTGGACAAATCTTCAATAATGCATTATTTTTATGTAATTTGTAGAAAAAAAACAAAGATATTCATATTCACCGATAAGGGATTTAACGATTTCCAATGTTGAAGCAACCTCGTTATCTGAACGTTCTTGATTTAACTCTACAATAAGCTTGGAATAACCTTCGCTCTCTTCACGAAATAAGTTAAATTTCCTTTGTTTATAACTGTAAAAATGAGTAGATTTTAAGAAACTTATGTATCATAAATAAACGTAGATTTTATAAATATAAAACCTCCTAAAGATGAGAAAATACTCACTATAGCTTTGTCTTCACTTTTATAAATTTGGTTTGAAAATTTTTATTTTTCAATGTCCCTACATCTTGCAAGGTTTCAATTTCTAAACGTTCTTTCAATATTCTATCGGTCAAAAACTGTGAGACACAAAAAAAATAGAAATTAATGTAATGTGTTGAAATTTGATTTTATTTAAGTAACTGAATAATTCTATTTCACAAACCATGCTGTATAAATATCTTTTATAATAAATAAATATCTTTTTTCTTTATTTTAATATTTCTGTTTGAATATTTAAATATTCTTAAAATAAGATATAATATAGGTATATATACAAATAAATATGTATACCTTCTCAGATTCTTTTACAATATAGTAAAAGTTGTTCCTCTCTTCATTATGTGCTTCTGCATCAATTAATGTAAATATATCTACTATTACAGATGGTATTGCACCATCAAAATTCTACAAATAAATTTTATATGTCAATATTATGACATTTATACTTAACTTTGAATTGGTTTTGTACAGTTTAAGATAATAAAAAGAAAAACTTATCATACCATAAGTTCACCTAATGTCTGAACTATACTGTCCTTCTTTATGTTCCCCTGGATTCCATTTGATATTAATTCGTATAATCCACGTGTCCATTCTATAAAAAAAAGATGAAAATTTTTCATTATACATCAAGATAGAAACATCAAGATAGAAACGAAATATCAAGTAGAAGCAAATATAATTCAAACACGAAACAATTTGTACATGTGTATGTGAAAAAATAAACAAAAAATTGAGAGATACAGATTTAAAGTAAGCGCTACATAAATTTTATTAATCCTAATTAATTCCTTTTTTTTGTTTGTAAGGCTACAAACAAAAACAAATAGGAAAATTCATCGTTATAATATCACATCTCGTACAAGATTTTCGTAGATGATTTCAATTATCTTATACGATAATGCCACTATATTATATGTAAACAGTAAAGTAAGAAACTGACAATCATAATATTACTACAAAACCGAGAGAATAAAATTTCAGTGTATCGAACATTCATATATGATAAGAATGTAATATATGCATGCACTAACAAGGGTACAAAAGGGACTGTATCTGCTTCCCAAGAACAATAGTATAGGTCAGTAGAGCAATTTAAACGCAAAAAAATATATTTGCAGCTTTATTACCTGGTGTGTTGCCTTCCCTAAATTTGTGCTTGATTAGCTTGAGGCTGCAAACAGTCGTGAATTGACAAATTAAGTCTTCAGAAGAGCGAGTAAACAGGAGTAGATAGTAGAAGTGTTTTCGCAGCAATGCACCGTGTCGATCGCGTCGACCAAACGACGCGTTAACACCACTTACAAATCATTTCTTCCATGTTTATCCCATGACTTCCATAATTCTGTATGCCATACTTTGCTAGCCATATTTAGCGCTCCGGTACGTTTTAAAAAGAGGTTTCAAGCGAGAATCCGAATTAAAAATCAACTTGACATCGCAGGCAGGTTAACAAATACGTATTACACTCTTCGATTCGCCACTGTAAAGCAAGCAACGAGCGCGTCCTCGAAGTTGCTCGAAGCTATCGCGAACGATCGCACGACACGATCTCGAGAGCTCGATCGACGTCACACAGTCCTATAAAAATTACATTTGGAAAAACAACAGTTGTACAACAAGCCTCGACTAACGATCGCTTATGATTGGTATATACTCCTAAATCTACCAATCGGTTTCCATCCTCCAAAAGTAGAGTATTCAACTGTTGAATTTTCTGAATAACGATTGTAGTCGCATAAAGTAATGAAAATGACAAAAATTAGCAAACTTACTAAATTGTTGATCAATAATATCATAGATACTCTGATAAATTTGGTCACTTTTGTAATTTTTTGATATAGGTTTTACACTACATTTTACACACGTTTTACTACGTTTTAATTTTTATTACATGATACACAATCAAAAGGTTCTTTTAGTGCAAAAGTACTAGAGACCCTAGAAGCTAGGGACTCTAAAGAATACCAAAAGTATACTTAAAACGAACAAACCTATAAATGCAAATTATAAACGGCACATAAGGAACATAATTGGATGATTTTAGGAACGACGTGAAGGAGAGTGATCCTTTATTTTTGTGCTCTTGCACGTTGGAGAGGTTGGTGATTTTTCATTATTTATAATCCTTCAACATCATGTACTATATTATTTACAAACATTTAGATATCATAAAATCTTACTTGGTATATCTTCTAAATTAATGTCGAAATAAACGTTTCACTTTTTGCGTTGTTACATAGAAGACGTGATGGTTGCATTTGTTACACATTACAGCTAGATGTTGCTATACTATCTAAGTAATACATTCGATAAATTAGAACGTGTTCATTATATTAGAAATAGTTCATTATATTGCGAGACAACTGTCATTTTTGTTATTCTGTTTAGTTGAAGAGTTCAATCTTGTCATAAATTTTTTTCTACAAGATATTGTTAGGGAGGTTATGTATATATAATCATGTCCATATTTCTAACATAATTTGTAAAATTTTAGGTGAAAAATGGCTAAGTCCTCTGAAAAGAAAGGAAAGAGTGCTATTAACGAGGTGGTGACTCGTGAATACACTGTGAATCTTCACAAGCGGCTTCATGGCGTTGGATTTAAAAAACGTGCTCCACGAGCCATTAAAGAGATCAGGAAATTTGCAGAGAAGCAAATGGGAACTCCTGATGTTAGGATAGACACACGTCTAAACAAGCAACTGTGGTCCAAGGGTATTAGGTAATCTTAATAAGATCTAAAAACTAAGTTTTTATATTATCTCAATCGCATAAACTGTGCAACTGTTATTTTTTAATTTGATTTATTTTTAGTTTGTAGTTTTTACATATAGTTATCTTTTTATTTTTTGAAGATAGTTATAATTAGTCAAAACATCTCATAATACGGTTATAAATATTTTATAATACATTTATAATTACTTGGGAGTCTATTTATTCTTTTGTTTTATATGAAATATAGTGAAATATATTTAATTTATGAGTATCTTATTTTATATGAAATATACAGGATTCTTTAATCAAACATAATATAATTTTTTATTTGCTTGCAATATTATTAAGAAAAAAATATTAATTTTTTTTTTAAATTTACAAAGTAAACAAGTAACAATTTTATATATTATTTTCATATTTTTTTCAGAAATGTTCCCTTTAGAGTTCGTGTAAGATTAAGCAGGAGGAGGAATGATGACGAGGATTCTGCGAACAAACTTTATACCCTTGTCACATACATACCTGTTGCATCATTTAAGGGACTTCAAACTGAAAATGTAGATGCCAGCCAAGATTAATGTGTTTCAATTTAATAAATAATGAGGAAATAAGTAATATGATGTATAAAATATTTATTTCACTACTCAATGCTTACTACATTTTGAGAGGAAATGTATTTTAATATGTAATACAATTTCACACATATATTTTGTTCGTAACTTCTGCAAAATTTTATATTAAAATAATGGGATCTTTTAATCCTAACAATACAATTTTTTTGCTTACAATGTGATAAAAAAAATATTGATTTTTTTAAATACGTGAAAGTAGATGAGTAACAATCTTATATATTATTTTAATATTTTTTTCAGAAATGTATATAAAACAAATTGGAGCAGATGTATAGTTTTTTGCATGTAATGTCTGAATTATTACAATTTTTAAGTTAATTTTTCAATTTCTTATTATTAAAATTAATGAAATATTAAAGACAGTTTTATATAAATTTTTATCTATAAAATTTACATATATATTTAGAGTTTATAAAATATTTTAAACTTATCTACCTTAAGGTGTCTTTTCACGTTGACGCTCGACGCTCAATTTTAGCATTAGAAAACATTATTCGACCAAAAACTACTGCAACGGTTGGTTATTTTTAGTCACGTGATGTTTTCGAACGCTGAAATTGAGCGTCGAGCATCAAGGCCGTCACACACAAATGACATAACTGCATATGCGTAGCATAAGACCGTCTCGACCAATGAACATCTAGCATAAAAGCGCCATATTGATTTACATAGCATGTTCATTGATCGAGACGGTCTTATGCTATGCATATGCAGTTATGTCATTTTGTGTGTGATGGTCTTCAGCGTGAAAAGGCACCTTTAATGCTGAAGTTGAACGTAGAGCGCGTAGAGCGCCATCGTACAAAACACTCTCATAGTTCATACTTCTCCATACTTATATAGTTGAAGGTTACCAATGCGCTATTAAATTTTCTTCTGCTCCTTGTTGCGAGAAAATAATTAATTTTGAAAAAAATCGAATATCAATTAGTCAATGAAATATTGACCATTCTTACGAAGATTTATCTCTTTATGATTTGGATTGAAGGTACGCACTTTATATAGCAGTCTAATATATTTATTGATTAATCTTACAATTAGTCATAAATTACCATCTCTTATTATTTTAAGCATCTTAGTCTTTATGGTTTCATTATAAATACATTATTATGTGTTTAGTTTAATTTTTAAGAAAAATTATGTTCATTATTTATATAAAGATCTTTGGCATCAATAGAGGTTAGGTTTCGGACAAACGGAGCAAGACAAATTATAGCAATTTTACTGCGTAAAATGCTTTATTTAAATGCTCGGTTGATAAAAGTGCAATCTTTATACTTAATATTTTTGGATTTCTTGGATTCTTGTTTTATATATCTTATATTTTTGAAAGAGATGTGATTTAAAGTGGAAATATCATACAATATAATACAATATGAGCTAAATTCTTATGCAACACTGTGAAAGTTGTATATCATATTAATTCTGTTTATATTAATTTTATAGTATTAAATTATATTTTAGAAATTTTATTTTAAAACTTTTTTATATTTTAGAATAAAAACAATAATATGAATTAAATTAGAGAAAGAGATATAATTTATTATATATACAATAAATTATCTATATAAAATTATACAATATATCTATATAGTATTATATAATAAATTTTAATGCTAATAACAATATAAACTGTTTTAGCAATTTTGGACACGGGAAGACATTCAAATAATTATAAGTTTACTTGAGGGATACATCAATGAGTAAAGATAAAAAGGTTGCACTGTTGTATTTAATATCATGTATTGTTTGTTTGTTACACTTTTTATTTGATATCAAAAACATGAGGGTGTTTTAAAACTATTGAAAATTATTTTATTTTGTAGAAATAAGGTTTTTTAAATAAAAATAATATACTATTAAGTTTTTTTTTAAATGATGAAATTAAGCAATAATAAGTTATTATTTTCTATTTAATTTTTTAAATTAATTTTATTTTAAGAAGATCTTAATTTGAAATCTTTTCTGGATTATGAGAATTTATAATTCACAAATTGCAACTTAACTTTGAATAATTAATTTATTAGACATACTGGATTAGCTATTTAACAAAAAGTTTTAGATTTAAGGAAAGAGTGAGCAAGTGAAAGAAAGAGAATGCATTTAATTGTCAATATAAAAGTTTGCAACACATTTAAAAAAAAAAAAAGATCTCTTATTATATTTTTTTTATCATAATTCCACAGTAATAAAAGTGACAATAGTTTTAATACACACCCTATATATATGTAGTTAACAAAATTCTTTTATTATAAAAAATTTATTTAAAAATAAGTAAAAATTTATAAAAATGTGTAATTAGGATAGACTTTTATTACTTATAACATACAGATCATATAGAACATCTCATAACTTGTTCACTTTTAATGATATATTGCACGACCAATTTGCAATTTTTGGTGAAACGTTAAAATTCTTTCTCAGTTGTTTATAACTCTAATAAAATATTGATGTTTCGATATTTTTATTAAGAAAAAATCAAGTTAAATTTATTTTAAAATTTGTCAATATACACACAATTAAAATTGCAAGTTGTGGGAAATCCTATGTATAATGAAATTTTTGTTAAAGCAATGTTGCACTTTTATTATTATTGTTTTATTGATTTATCCTTTCTATCTATTATTTTTTTTAATATTCCATCCAAAAAATTAGTCTTGCACAATTATTTTAAATGTTGCATATGTGAAATGTCTCTGATCAATTATGTTTTCTGTTAACAATGAATAGACAGTGAAAGACAGAGAAAGAATCAAAATTTTATGTTTAAAAGTATAAGTTTTTTACTGTGTGAAAATAATTAAAAATCATTAATAATTATTAATAAACTAAATTGAAAAAAGCCTTAACAATTATCAATTCCAAAAATGGTACAAAGGATATGACCTATGTTGTATGTCAATGTTTCATATGTTTACAAGTCATTAAAATACAATAGAATCTGATGTGATATATTGCTTATATGTTTTATTTATTTATTTGATATAAAAAACATGTAAAAATGTTTTAAAACTATTAAAATTATTATTTATTATTTATTTGTTTAAATAAATAATAAGATTTTTTAAATAAAAATATTACTATCATAGCATCCATATTTACGAGAATACACAGTTGATCAGAGATACATAATGTAATTATTTGTTATAATGTTGATCCTTATTGCTATATTTTTTTCATTACTATGTGTATCAATTATAGCTTGGATGTATATTAGAAAATATTTAACACCTGCTTTTTATGATTTCAGTTGATCCTGCATGCTGTGCACTGTGTATGGACGTACTGCCTGTCTAAACTGCACTGTATTTTTTTATTATTTTTGCCAAATTGATCACATTAATAGTAAAGATATAAAAAAACATGGCTGCCTACATCAATCGTACAATGGTACAATCGTCCATGATTGGAGGAGACAGCCAACTTCGATCAGCAGATGTTAGAACTGACAATTCTCCTCTACAGATTTTTGTGAAAGCAAAGAAGAGGATAAATGATATATTTGTGGATATAGGAAAATATGTAGGAGAAACTGTTGACTTTATGACATGTAAGTAAACAAAAGAATCCATGTAAACATATGTATCATTACTCTTTATCTAATTAGCACTAACTTTATACAGCTTTGCAAAATGATCGCAATATTGTAACAGAAGAAGAAGCAGTGAAAGTTAAAGGTTACACTGACAAAGTATCTGCAATAACAGATGTTCTTAAAAGAGATCATATGAAAGTAGCTTTTTTTGGCAGGTGAGTAATTATGTTAAACAATATTCATGTAGTTCTAATTTAATTGATTATTATATGAATATAAAATAATATATTTATTGGAATTAAATTTTTCTTTTTATTAAACGGCAATAGCTTCTTAAAAGACATAGTTCTAGTGTTATGGTATAC